AAAAAAAAAAGAAAAAGAAATTTTATATATTATAATTATTTATTTCAGCAGAAGTGATGAAACACCACCATCAACCAAGAGAAAGACCAAGGAGTCAGTTTTGAGTGACAACACAAAGTGTAGAAGGAAGTCAAAAGGGTAGATTGAACTATTTGACCTTCTAGATTGACCTTGAAATATTAGTTTATAATTTTCAATGCATTAATTGTCAATATCGCAGAAACCCACATAGATTTTTACACTCCACACTGTCATCTTCAGTTATATTAAATAAAACTGTTTTATTAATTTTTATCCATAGGCAATCTGCATTGATGTTTTTTTTTTTTCATCTTTAGGATGCATCCAAGGCGTAAGAAGAACAGTTCCAAGACAGTGGTTAAGGATGCCACTGAACAGGACTCAGCTAGTTCACAGATAACATGCACCAAAGTGGTTGAGTAAGCATTATCATAGATTTCATGCAGCACTTTTGTGCCAGGTGGGCTGTATCCTCACCAGGGAGGCAACAGTGTCAACACTCTGTCTGTATCAGGGCCATAATGCCCAATGTAAACTGCACATAATGATACAAGAACTTTTCTTTTTAAAATTTGAATTTACAAATTAATTAATGTTGTGCTTATAGTAATGTTTCTTACTAGTAAATTTGTCATATGGTAACCCTGCTGTATTGATCAATTAGAAAACAAGGACACATATTACCCATCAGAAAACAAAGTCAGATGGCAACTTATAATCTAGAACAGTTCCTTTATAGTGTAGTGCACAAAAGCAAAAAAAGAAATTCTATATATTATAATTATTTATTTCAGTGGAAGTGATGATACACCACCACCACCAATCAAAAGAAAGACCAAGGAGAGAGTTTTGGGTGATGACACAAAGTGTAGAAGGAAGTCAAAAGGGTAGATTGAACCATTTGACTTTATAGATTGACCTTGAAATATTATATTAGTTTTCAGTGCATTAATTATAAAGTCTACAACTAAAACTCACATAGAATTTTACACTCAACACTTATCTTGAAGTTCAGTTATATTAGATATAATTGTTTGATTAATTTTTTTATCCATTGGCAATCTGCATTGATGTTGTTTTCATCTTCAGGATGCATCCGAGACGTAAGAAGAACAGATCCAAGACAGTGGCTAAGGATGCCACTGAACAAAACTCAGCTAGTTCACAGATAACACACATCAAATTGGTTGAGTAAGTATTATATCATAGCTTTCAGGCAGCACCACATATGGCAGGGAGGCAAGAGTGTCAACACTCTGTCTGTATCAGGGCCATAAATGACCAGGCACCCAATGTAAACTGCACTAAAATGATACAAGAACTTTTCTTTACTTTTTAAAATGTGATCAGACAACAAATTCAGCTGGCAGCTTAAGCAATGTTGCAATGTTGATGTTATTATATAGGATATTGACCTTCAGGTTTATAGAACTATAAAAATAATAAAACTATAATTGGCTTTGCCTTTTGCTCAGAGTGTTAAGTTTTGTAGATCTCAGCCAAATTTTAATGTGGAATTCTGACTAATTTTGTTTTATATAAATGGAATTATAAATTGCAGGTCTGACCATAAGCAACCTGACCAACTGTCTACTTGTAGCTTGGCATCAGCTTCAGCTTCAGCTCCTGGCCTGCAACCTCCTGAGTCTGCTCCTGACTCCACAGTGAACTGCCAGGACTTTGACGGGTAACTAGGACATATGTCAGACCAATATTATTCAGCACCTTTTAACTTTGGCTACAGAATAATACACAGAATACTAACAAATATCAGACTTTCAAAGTAGGAAGTAAATTTTCTCTCAGAATCAATGTGAAATTGAAGGTAAAACTTTTTTTAAAGTTCATGCTAATTACTAGCAGATGGTTTATGTACTAGGTTAATGATTTTGACAGTTTCAGA